AGCCCGTGTATGTACTAATAGACTTCAGCCCATGTATGTACTGACAGGTTTCAGCCCGTGTATGTACTGACAGGTTTCAGCCCGTGTATGTACTGATAGGTTTCAGCCCGTGTATGTACTAATAGATTTCAGCCCGTGTATGTACTGACAGGTTTCAGCCCGTGTATGTACTGACAAGTTTCAGCCCGTGTATGTACTGACAAGTTTCAGCATGTTTATGTTATTACAATCGTATGTAAGAGTTAAAGAACCCATAACTACATTACTTGATTGATGTTTGATAAATAAACATCCACCTGAAACTCTGTATGTTATTATTACAGCGAAACATCCAAGTCCTACTCTTGTTAGCAACGGTTTGCCTAGTGTTTGGTGGGGGCTATGGGGGAGGAGGATACGGTGGAGGAGGATATGGTGGAGGTCATGGAGGTGGTGGTTACGGTGGAGGAGGATATGGTGGGCTCTATGGAATTCTCTGTCACTATCCTACTCATGCTTCTGTGAAGACACATGGTACTTTTGGAGGTGGTTACGGTGGAGGTCATGGGGTGGCTACGGTGGAGGTCATGGAGGTGGCTACGGTGGAGGTCATGGAGGTGGTTACGGTGGAGGTCATGGAGGTGGCTATGGAGGAGGTCATGGTGGTGGTTACGGTGGAGGTCATGGAGGTGGCTACGGTGGAGGTGGTTATGGGGTTAAAGTCCCCATCTTTACAGTGCTTGGATACAGTAAACACACCAGTGGTTATCACTAATGTATATATATATTTATCTTCCTAAAGTGTATATTTAGCAATGTTTTCATCATGTTTTATAATGACCTAAAGTGTATATTTAGCAATGTTTTCATCATGTTTTATAATGACCTAAAGTATATACTTAGCAATGTTTTCACCTTGTTTTAAAATTATCCCACAACAGTTAATATTGCTTGGTAACATGTGTCTATATACACTGTATATAATATTTTTGTAAAACCCCTGGCTGGGTTGTTTTCCAGACGATAACAACAACAAAAAAGTTGTTGAAAATGCTGTATTATAAACAGTAACCAATGGTAGAATTTCCTGCACTGAATCAACAATACAGAAAACAACCTAATTTTGAATACTGTGTTTTCTAGTGTACCAATGAAAGGTTGTCTTCCGATTGGTTGATTTTACATATGTATGTGTAGTGATGTACACATGTACAGTAGAAGATTGGATGATCAAAAATAAAATTCAATTATACTTTATACATTTCTATCTTCCATGTTAATTTATTTTACAAATGTCACAAACTGTATCAGCTCCAATTTCAGACTCTACAAACATTTCTTAAATCCAAGGAAAGAAACACCCATTTCTAGTTTACTGAAAGTCCTAATACTTGTGAACCACTGGTTGATTCTGGGGAAACTCACATTGGGTTTTCCAACAATAAAACTCAAAATGTGTTATACAATATGTATCATATTCAAATCACCAACATTTTCTGATAACACTAGAACTACCAATGTGGGATCCATGCGAACTCTGTCTGATTTTCAGACATATTATTCTAAAATATATATAAAAAACATTTCTTGTTGGTCCTTGACTTATTGGTAACAGGGTTACTAGTAACACACACACATGAAACAAAAACACTAAGGAAATAAAAACATTTTAACTTAGTAATTTTGTAAGAATTTCATACATTTGTAATATAGACAGACAAACCAGTAATTAATGTAGTAGCTTTGTAAGAAGATCATGGTGGTGACATAGGTTTGTAATACAGACAAACCAGTAATTAATGTAGTAGCTTTGTAAGAAAGTCATGGTGGTGACATAAGTTTGTAATATAGACAAACCCGTAATTAATGTAGTAGCTTTGTAAGAAGGTTGTGTGGTGACATATGTTTGTAATACACACAAACCAGTAATTAATGTAGTAGCTTTGTAAGAAGGTTGTGTGGTGACATAAGTTTGTAATACACACAAACCAGTAATTAATGTAGTAGCTTTGTAAGAAGGTTGTGTGGTGACATACGTTTGTAATATAGACAAACCAGTAATTAATGTAGTAGCTTTGTAAGAAGGTTGTGTGGTGACATATGTTTGTAATACACACAAACCAGTAATTAATGAAGTAGCTTTGTAAGAAGGTCATGGTGGTGACATACGTTTGTAATATAGACAAACCAGTAATTAATGTAGTAGCTTTGTAAGAAGGTTGTGTGGTGACATATGTTTGTAATACACACAAACCAGTAATTAATGAAGTAGCTTTGTAAAAAGATCATGGTAATGACATAGGTTTGTAATACAGACAAACCAGTAATTAATGTAGTAGCTTTGTAAGAAAGTCATGGTGGTGACATAAGTTTGTAATATAGCCAAACCCGTAATTAATGTAGTAGCTTTGTAAGAAGGCTGTGTGGTGACATATGTTTGTAATACACACAAACCAGTAATTAATGTAGTAACTTTGTAAGAAGGTCATGGTGGTGACATACGTTTGTAATA